TTTTTTTGGTTGATTTTGTTTGATTAAAAATTAGTAGATTTTTTTAACTTTATTTTATTGTTTATTTTTTGGTTTTCCAGTTTTATAATCAAAATAAAATATTATTTTTTTAATTGCAAATTAAAGTTTTAAAAGGAAAATGACCCTTTTAAATTAAGATTTTAAATAAGTTTTGGAAATCTTCTAAAATAAAATTTATTTAAAAATAAAATACTGAAAGTTTTTTTTTAATGAAGTAAATAAGAAGTTTAATTTTAAAATAAAAGCATTTGTTTGTTTTTAAATAAATTTGTCCTAAGATTTAGTAAATAAAAATTAAAATCATATTTAAAAGCTTCAAAGGAGAGTTTTAAATAATTAAAAATTTTGTTCGATAAAATTTCCCAAATATATATATATATATATATATATATATATAGAAAATAAATGAAAAACATATCTGTTTGAGAAAAGGAAAGAAGTTTGTATATTGGGTAGTTGCATAATGGCAGGAGGCATTATCTAAGTTATCAAGTCCTTATTGCTTTGAATTTTCAATTTTAAAACTTAAATTCCTTCTCCCTCTCGAATCTAGTTTCTCCTAATTTTTCCGACTAGTTGTGGTCTCTTTGACATACCTTCSAACGATGAAAAATTGATATGCAACCATTAATTTCTTTTTTAAGTTTAACAATTTAATTTTATAATCAAAAGTTTAGGASGGCAATTTTCTCACTTATACAAATTTAAGGATTTAATTTTTAAATTTAAAAGTTCAKGAGTCTAATTTTATCATTTAAAAAAGTTTAAGTGTTTATTTTTTACATGGAAAGTTTAGTAGTATAATTGTAACATCTACCATACTTCATGAGTGGTTTCTGCAATTTGCCTTTAATTTTTCTAATTGCTTTCGTGTCACTCTTGTTGATTTATATTTTATTATTAAAATGTGAATTAATAATTTGGGACATTTAAAATAAAACACAAAAAAAAATTTTCCTTTTGGACCAATAAATATAACAGGATAATTTATCATAAAATTTGGTAATAGTTTCGAACTGGTGTTGTTGGGTGCTAACTATTTTAAATATGTGATCAATCACATCTCGTTGATGATTGGTGGCAACTTCAACCCCTTATCTCTCGAAGGGATGATGTCGGCCGCTCCGCGTCGCAATGACGTTGCGACACCAATTTTCATTTTAAGAAATCCTTAAAATAGGATTTTATATTTTTCTAGAATTAAAATGTTTCTACATTATTTTATTTTTCAAAGATAAATTACACTTTTGGTCGTACTCAAGATTTAGACTTAGCTCGATTTGATCGTTGAGGTTTCAAAATTGATATTTTGGTCTTGAATTTTGAACTTTTAGTTTAATTTTTATTTGGTCTCTTAAATTTAAAAGCCGACACACTTTTGGTCCTTAGCGATTTGGTTTTGTTTCTATTTGATTTTCTATGGTTTCAAATCCAACATCTTTTGGTCCATAACATTTGATTTTTGTCTCAATTTAATCCTTGAGTTGAGATGAGTTAACCATTAATGCAAAGATCATGACGTGATGCTTAACATGCAAAGGAAATTTTAAAGCAAATAAGAGATCGATCTTCCTTGATAGCTGGACCATGACTTTCTTTTTGGATATCTTTAATTGGGATGAGAACAATGACGAATTCAATGATAGTTGACATAGGTGAGTCACACTTCAAGATGGTGACTATTTTATTGAAGACAACCAATGATCCACTCGACTCATGAACCAAATAAAAATCAAATTCAAATCTTAATTATGAYCAAAAGTGTTCTTTTTAACTACAAAAGTGTCATTTTTTTTTACTTTAAAGATAAAATAGAAACTAAATTCAAATTTTATGGACCGGAGAAAAATCAAATCCAAATCCCAAGGAACAAAAATATAATGTTGCGGTATTTTAATTCTGAAATTAAAATTTCATCTAACACAAGAAACATTATTATCTATAGAAAAAGAAAACTCTAGGGGAGAAAATGTCTTCCCATTTTACCCTTTCTTTTGCAATTCATATTTCTTTTTTGCTTTTTATCTTTTTTCTATTTTGGTATACAAAAATATGCGCGAATAAATTGCGTTTATTAATGATATAAAAAAAAAGCGTTTCTTAATAATTTTCTTTTAAAGAATATGATATCATTATTTACATAAACTCTTGAAAAATTTAAAGTCTTTTATTTTTTTAATATTAAAAAATGGCTCGAGGAGGAAAAAAAATTGTGATTTTCTCTTTTGCCCCTTCACATTTATGTTTGATTTAATCATTTTTAGACAATATATGTTAAGGATCTGTATGGTATCAGGGCAAAAAGAAAAAAAAACTCAACAGAGCATTCGATCCTAAAAATGGGATCCGACTAAGATTGATGAGCTAAAAGAACCACGACCTTGAAGAGACATGCTAAAGATCCACACATTGAAAAAAAATGGATCTTATAAAAGTTTATAATATACCTTCACTATCAAACATCGTTAATATTAACAAATATTCAAGAATTTTTTTCAAATATTAAAAAACATGTGTAAGTCACGTGAGCTTTAACTTCTATATATAGAGTGTAGAGTATGATATGAGAAAATAAAATAAAAAAATACAAACAAACAAAAAAAGAAAAAGATAAAAAAAAAAAAAAGAGTAAGGCATGGAAGTTGTGAAGAAGGGCTAAATTTGGGAAGTTGGCCAAGACCATAATTATTAGGTGCAATCAAGTGGTTCAGATATTTGTTAATAAATTATTAACTCTCTTTCCTTTTATGACAACTCAAGAACAGGGACTTCAATTTGGCTCTATAACATTGTGTCCCATTTTTTTAATATTCACATTGATTGGTATATCAAATTTCAGGTTTTTTAATCCATTGATAAATGTCAAGACCTAATTAGCTTTAATTTGATAATATTATTCCCAACGTCAGCTTAGCTCAAGGATAATTGGTATATATCTCTCTAACMAAGTGATCATAAGTTCGAATCTTCCGTTCCTACTTATTGTACTAAACAAAAATTGGTAATATTATTGAAGATATAAGTCATCCTCACGATGATAATATATACATATATACATATATATACATACATATATATATATTCATTAATTCCAAAATTAGCTACGAATTAAGAAAAGATAAAAAATAGAATTTTAAAAAATTTGCAAGGTTTTTTTAAAATTTTGGGATTAGCAAAATGACATGTGTGTATGTATGTATATACATATATATAATTTATATAATTCTTTTGTTTTTCTAAATTTAGCTGAGAATTAAGAAAGAGATACAAATAGAATTTTAAAAAATTTCCAAGTTTTTTTTTAAATTTTGGAATTAGCAAAATACATTTAATTCAGCCAAAGGTGGCCATCTGATAAAAAGTTAAATTATAAATTTAGTCCTCAGATTTATTATGTTTAATACGCTTTTGAATTTTAATAAGTTTATAATTGGTCTTTTATAACTTTTAACTATTATGTTTAACAGATCCTTTACTTACAAAGAAAAAAAAATGTCTAGTATATCTCTAGTGGCTGATTGATAACCTATTTATGTTTTTAGTTTTTGATTTTTCTATTTTTGAATTTTAGTTTTCCATKTTTTTAAAACAAAAACCATAYACGTTTGATAACAGTTTTTTGTTTTTTTGTTTTTGAAAAATAGAAAACGAAACATGTTTGATAATCCACATATATATAATATCAAACCGTATTGGTTTTTAGTTTTTTTAAGAAAGTTAGAGATTTGAAGAGATATCCTAGAGAGAAAAATATATATAAAATAGAGATGACAACAAAAGTGGGGCGAGAGTTGGGATGTCCTCCGCATCTTCGTCATCGTGGAACTTTCTAGTTCTCGCCTCTACCTCATTCTCAGATTAAGACGAGAACAAAATGTTAGAACAAACAAAAGAAATCAAAATATATAGAAATCAAAATTCTGGAGATGATACAAATAATTTAGAGGTGAAAAATTTAGAGCGGGTGACAAACTTTTTAGATAGAAATTTCGAGAAGGAAAAAATTTAGAGTGAGAAAGAAATTCATCAGAAGAAAAATATGTGATAGAAAAAGTTGAGCATTATAACTGAAAAGAAAAAAAAATAGATTTTGACCAACAAAACCTGTTTTTAAAAACATTTTTTTTAAATTTACATAAGATTTTAAAAATGTTTTAAAAATATAGAAAACAAAAAATTGAAATTATGTCATTAAACAACTTATCAAAAACCAAAAACCAAAAACCAAATAACTAGGGCTCAAAATGTTGAATTTTGTGTGAACTATTTTAGATATCTTTTTTAGAAACCACAATTAAGAAGCCCGTGAGTTTAAGAAAAAGTCAAATTTTAATATTTTACGATTTTTCTAYCTAAGATCTGAAACAGTAGTCTATATTCTACTTAGGATTTAATATTTTACGAGTTTTCTTAACAACGATTCTGTTAGCTTGGACAAATATCGTGAATTCAAAATTCCACCGTCATATAAA